TCATTTAAAATACTGCTCTTAGCCAGATCAATATTGATTATACCATTCGGAGCTGAGTTACTTAATGACATTCTGAATGTCTCCCAAGAGTCTAGCAATGTACCCAGTAAACACAACCCCTGAATTTCATCATCAAACTTGATACCCATTCTAACTAGCTGATTAATTATACCTTAGAACGCATTCAAGTGATCTGCCAACGGAGTTCCATCTCGATACCTCAAAACCATCAACTACTTGATGAGAATCATTTTATTATTTCTCGTTTTCCGAGCATACAACTCTTCAAGTTTATTCCAGAGTGTTCGTGCATGTGTTTYTCCACTAATATGATTCAAAACATTATCATCTACCCACTACCTTATATACCCACAAACCTATCGATGTAACAAGGTCCATTGTTCCTCAGACATATTTTCTGGCTTCTCAATGGCAAACACCGGTAAATGAAATTGTTTAACATGAATGAGATCTTCCATTTTTCCTTTCCAAGTATGGTAATTTTCACCATTCAAAGTAATCATTCTACTCAAATTAGCTTCCATATTCAACACAAGATATTCAATAACAATAACTACAAGCTTTGATACCACTTTGTTGGGAGAATCACGAAATCAAGCAAACTCTAACCAAGTTCCAAAAACAGCAGAAATAATATTTTTCTCCCTCTTTGTGTGAATCTATTAGGAAACAATTTAGTAGAGCTTAAAACCAAAAACAAGCACACAAGAACACAACCAAATTTACGTGGAAAAACCTTCCCGATGTGAGAATAAAAAAACCACGGCCACCAAAAACTTCCACTATCAAGAAAGTGATTGTACAAGTGTTCTCTCTAGATAAAACTAGAGCCATACAGTCAACAAATCTTTAAAATAGAAGTACTGTTCACGAACTCAGATCTCACAAACCATTGAGCCAAACCAGATCTCCACTGTTCAGATTGAAAAACCTTAAGTCGCGAACATGCCTGCAAAATTTCAGCTCAATCGGACCACAAACGACCTTCAATCAAAGTACAAGATGAAAACTGTGTAGGCTAGAATATGAAAAGTCTACTCCTTTTCTCTTTGTTTTTACACGGGATTCTCTTCCTTCCTCTCTAATCTTTTAGCAGCCAACACCACTAAAAGGTTATATTTCCTTTGACTATTTTCATTTGAGCAAAAATACCCTCATCTATGGGCTCAAAAAATACCACATGGGCTTCTTAGGCCATCCTCCACATAAGAGGGAAATCCAACACTTTGTTACTCCTTGAATTACAGAACCATCCCTTCCAAGAGATAATGAACACGATTCTGGGTTAAGGCCTGATACTTGGGGTAATTCTTGGCAAACATCAAGGACTAGTGGACTAAACTATGACCCAATAAACAAATTTGGGGATATTCTTCTGGTAATCCTAAAGGCCTTGTAATGATAATGGTGGTGGTAGCTTTATGCAAAGCACAAGTTCATTGGGAAGTACTGATATTGGACCAAGCTCTCGGTAGATTAATCATGCAAAAAAGAAGACCCAAAACCGTGAACAAGCAAAGCAAAACTCAACATACAAAATAGAACACAAAATCTCAATTGTTAAAGGAAAAAAATTGAAGGTAAAAGTAGAAGAGAAATCTTTGAAATGAAGATAAAAGGGATGCATTACCTTCTTTGGTAGTCTCCTCATCATCAAGGTTAAGAACAATAATAGGAATTGAAGCAGGATTTTGTCTCTGAGCTCTGTGTTTTCTAAGAAACTGGGAAAAATCAACTAAAGATCTAATCTACAAGGGACATGATAAAAGGATGGAAAAAGAAAAGAAAAGAAAAGAAAAGAAAATGACTTTCCTTCTCAAAGTGGTTTATGGGGACTTAAACCGCAAATGGGCACATTTCTTATCTTTGGATTCTTTGTCTGGCATGTCTTCGACAATGAGTGGCCGGTAGAAGTGCTTCTCCATCCCAACTGGCCATCACCGCCACAATTCGGAATCTAGGACTCATGAAGTTTTCTATGTTTCCTCGATTTTCGACGTTGACGGGTTCTTTTGTTGGGACTTCTATGTTTGGGGGGCTCTCATCGTCTTCCGTAGTCATTCTTTGTTTTTTCTTAACTTCTGCAAGTAGAAGCATAGTATGGGTCGGAAATTGAATAGAGGGAAGACCGAAAAAGTGATTTTTTTTTGCAACAGTGAATATTTTTTAACTGGGGTCTTGCTATCTTTTCCATCAGCTATAACACCTATAATATCAAAGTATGGGAGGAGAAGACAATGAATAGGAAACGAGTGAGGTGGGTCTTGCTATGTACCTTGAGACTTAACTGACTTGTTATGAACCAAAGGGCATTTTTATCCTTTTACAAGATATTTAACGTTTGTTAATGGTTTTGGACCAACTTGACACTTTTTGAAAGTTTGGGTACTGCAGTGACATTTGAAAGTTCTGGTACTAACTTGACACTACCCCAAAGTTTAGGRTACTAAAGTGAAATTATCCCTAAAAAAAATAGAATAATTCAATATGAAAATAGATGATATCAATTACAAAGAGTTACAAAACTATACATGGAAGTGTTCAAGWYTAGGATTGTACATAGAAAATTTGAAATGGGAGCTTCTCAACTTAAAAATGAAAGTTGTGAGAAATGAATCCACTAACAATGAGGACCCCAAAAATAAGAGCAAGAATATATTCTTGGAGGAAATTAATGTTTCCTCGCACTTGACATTTGTTTGAAGACTTTGCTTAGTTTTTCTTGTGTTTGTTTTATGGTTGTTGTTAAAGTCAATGGTACTATTAGTGTGATGTTCTATATTTCTTTAACAAGGTTGTTAATGTTCTAGGACAATATTTCATACTAGAATTCCATGTAAAAAGGTTCTTCAAGTTCATTTTGTATAAACTAAAAATGTTATCTTAAGAACAATAATGAATAATAAGTTTTATGGTTTTTCCCATGATGAGTGGGGTGGGGGATGAAGATCAAGAATACGATAATCACATAAAGAGGTTTTGCTATTTTTCTCTATTCTCTAAGCAAATTTTTAGATTCGATTCCCTTTAGTTCTAAAATGATTAGGGGTGTCAACGGTATTCAAAAATCCGATTTTGAATTCAATATTTGATATAATCGAATCAAATTCAGATAATTCGAATATCTAATCGAATCAAATTTGGATATCCTATTCATATCGAATAGTTAATCGGATTTGAATTCGGGTATGACCTGATTTGATTCGATAAAGTAATTTATATATATATATATATAATAGTTAAGTTATATAAAAAATTTATATATTTATATACTTTATATCAATAAAATATTTATTAATTATCTAAAATAATTAATTAGTCGAATTAGAATCGAATCGAATACTCGAATATTTAATCAGATTCGAATTCAGATATTAATTTTCAATATCCATYGGATATCAAATCGAATTTGGATGTTGAATTTTCTAATTGGATTCGAATTCGAGTACTGCCTGATCCGATTTGAATTCGATCCGTTTACACCTCTACAAATGATACAATGTCAAGAAAGAAACCTTAACAACTAATCAATTCTCCATACGAAAGAAAGGAAGCATGTACTATTTGAAGCAAGAAGAAAAAATGAAGCATGCACTATTTTGTTCCAAACTGAATTGAAAAAAAAGAAGCATGCACTATTTTGTTCCAAACTGAATTGAAAAAAAAGAAGCATGCACTATTTCTATCCACTTTTCAAGCTTCTCCAATTGTTTCCATACCCGAGGGATCATAAATATCCTTTGGAATGCGTTTATCATAATCTAGAATAATTAATTGTTATGTTCTTCGTAGATTAAACTGTTTTATTTGGATTAGTAAAATGTTATTCATGCAGCTTTTGTGTTTTTACATTTTCTCAATATTAAGACTGGCCTGAAGTTGATACGACTGCATAGTCATTTTGTCTTATAATGACAACGACCTTCAAAATGTATAATATTCAGCTAAAGTAATAAATCCAAACACTAGAGGCTGTCTATCTAATTATGTAGCTAGTTTTATCCTTTGAAGCAAATATTCTAATAGTAAAATGAATAGGGCTGTCAGCAAACTTGAAAAGTTCCAAACACGATCCCACGTCCAATTTAAATTTCAATTTGGATTCAAATGATCCATTTAATTGAAATCCAAAGTCCAGTTATTTAATAATAAATTCAATATTTCATTTATATTAATTTATTATGTATAAACTAAAAGTAATTATTTTGTTACTTTTTTAAAAATATAAAATGGGGTCGAATTAAATATGGATTTGAACCAATTAAGATCTCCAAATCCAATCGAATTTCAGTGAATTCGAATGTTGCTAAATTCGATCCAAATCCAACCCAATTAAAGGTGAAAAATCTCATACCATGGTATGACTGACTCCTTACGATACTTTTCTCTACCCTTTCCCCCCTTACCTGGCTAAATTAAAGCTGCGTTCGAGAGTGGTTGACCTTATTTTGCCTTAAGGTGGAGAGAGAGAGAGAGACAGAGAGAGATTCACTTTGTATAGCTAAAAAAAGTTATCCATAAGCAGTGCTTATAAATGGATAACAAGGACAGAAAGAACGAACTGACAAATTTAGGTTTTGGTAGTATTTAGGAGACTAGTCATTTTAAAGTACTAATAAAAAATGACTTCTGCTTATTTATAAAATTGCTGAAAAGTGAAAACTATCCATAAGGAGAAGCTAAACCTAAATCCGATGTTACGTACCAAACAGTTCCCTTTGAGGAAGCGTGTCTTGAAAATTCTTGGTCTCCTCGTCGCTCTGACTTTCTTATAAGGGCGCACTGCGCACTGCGCACTTCGCACGAGCGAGCTTTGAAGCTTGAAGGAGACTGGGTCAGCACTCTCTCTCACTATCTACTTGGCATGACTGGAGACCCGTCTCTGGTCTACTCGCTGTTGTTGGTCAAACTTTTCCCTTCCTCTTCTCTTATATTCCTCCTCCTCTCACCTTGTCCTTCGATTCAAAGAAGACATCCTCTCCTTTAAATATAACCCCTCCACCTCTCGCGTCCTTCAGGCTTTAACATCCCTTGTTCGTTTATCACTCTTCACCTCCTCTTTCTTGCACTCTCTTACCTGTAAACGTTCGAACTGAAAAGAAGACAGATACCCAATTCCTCGAATTCAAATTTTTGGGCCTTTTGTTTCGTCTTAGCCCATAATTTTGATTCTCTTTTCTCTGAGTTTATTTACTAGGCTCTGCAGCTAAACTCTTATGGAATTTTAGCGCTTATACCTTGTGTTTGGTAGCCCTGCTCAAGATTGTTCGTCTCATAGCGCAAAAAGAAAACAATAGGAAAGGGAAGTTGGAAGGTTTCTCCTTCTTCGTGTAATCTTGAGCAGAGCAGCTACTTTCATGTCCGTAGCTTCTGATTGCGCGTGCCCTACAGGCTGCAGCTTCATCCCCTTCTTACTTGTTCTTCTTCTTGCCAATTTGTCAAATTCTGCTTCTTTCACATCTCAACGTGTCTGAGTATTCTCCTTCATTCGTAACATGAATTAAGCATTTTTAACAGTTTATCGGCGATCCTCCCTGCTCCTGATAGGTAGCGCTGAAAAATTCGAAACGGTTTAGCAATGGAGAAGGTGGGAGAATGGGATAAAAATGGTTTGCTCAATGAGCTGATGCAAGGGAGGGAGATAGCGAGGCAGCTCCACATCCTACTGGACCCATCTTCCTCGGCGGAGAAGCGCCAGTTTTTAGTACAAAAGGCACAATCTTGTTTTGAGAGAGCACTGGCGATATTGAAATGGAATGGGGTGGTGGAGACAAAGCCCCAGTCAGTGGGAATTGTGGCCGCCATGTCCGACTCCCCGCGCTCTGACAGCGGAAGTCACAGGAGCAATGATTCGGACCAGGAGCGCAGAGACATGAGTAAGAAGAGGTACGCTAGTCTAATTTGTTGCGTCTCAAAACTCAAAAGAGAAATTCAAGGTTTTTCGTTTCTTGTTCATGAAGTTGTGCATTGATCAGATTCAGGGCTGATCTTAACTTTTCGTGATTTGCAGAAAGATGGAACCCCGATGGACGGAACAGGTACGCGTTTGTTCAGGAACAAGACTCGAAGGGCCTGTAGACGATGGTTATAGCTGGAGGAAGTATGGACAGAAAGACATCCTTGGAGCTAAACATCCAAGGTCAGACAACTGAGAAATAGACTGTAGAAAATACCTCAACTCACTACACACACATACGTACATCTGAACCACACACTCTGATCAGTCTTGTGTCTTTCTCTGACTCCTTGAGCTGAGCCTTTGGGTCCAAGTGCAACCTTTGTCTATGTGTGTCAGTAGTGGGTGAATCTCAGGGTCCTAGCCACCTGACCTGAGAGTTAGTTGTGGCCCAATTTTGACTGCCTTTGTGGTCCCTTGGATTTAAATTGTTGGTTGCCCAGGATACCACTTTTTTAGCTTTAGTTTAATTAATTAATCAGAAATCAGAAAGAGAAAGCCATGGGATGAGATGAGAGTGGTACCAAACCAAATTCCTAGTTATCCTCTTTGAGTCTTGCCATTGCCAACCACCATGACCAGCCCAGAACTGTGTTTCTGGACTGAAATTTTTAGTATCCCTTCACCTATTCTGAATTCTGAAGCTCATCAACAACCTCGCTGATATAAATTTTAATATTCCTTCACAGCTCACCCTCCACATGGTCTTTGCCTGACAACACACAATTGAAATAGATGCAATGCATGCTTCTGTAATAATGTTTCCATTTTCTCGCTCCATTATTGAGCCATTGTTCTAATTATAGATTTATTTTGATTACAATTGCAGAGGCTATTACCGGTGCGCTTACCGTAACCTCCAAGGCTGTTTGGCCATAAAGCAAGTTCAGAGATCAGATGAAGACCCATCTGTCTTCCACATCACCTACAGAGGAAAGCACACTTGTAACCAGGCATCCCATCTAGTTCCAGCCTCGGCATCTTCAGAGAAACCAGAGCCAAAACAGAATCAACAACATCATCTTCATCAACCCCAACAACAACAACCTAACCCACAAAATCATTCACAGGGAATCCTCAACTTTCGGACGGGACTCAAGGTCCAAACCGAGGACCTGGACAATGGGGAGTTGATATCTTCTTCCTTTTCCTTCCCTTCGGAAACCATTGGATTTGGATTCGCAACAACTGAAGACCACATCTTCTCGCCTTCGACACTCGACAACAACTTCGTCGGCAGCTTTTCCCCTCCTTTCATATCCCCAACAACATCTGAATCCAACTACTTCCCCGTGTCTCCCTTCCGAGTGAACGGCCTCGGAGGGGGACATAACTTTCATACTTCGGAATCTGATCTCACTCGATTAATCTCCGCTGCCACTTCCACAACTAGTTCTCCAATCATGGACTTAGATTTCTCACTTGATCCTGCGGATTTCGACACTAATTTCCCACTTGACTCTCCAGGCTTTTTCTATTAACAGTTAACACCACTAAGTAACAGCAACAGGAATTTTGCTTATTAGCATTTGTAACAAAAAGTCATTTTCATTTTTCCTCCACCCTTTGCTCTAATTGCAATTGTGGTTTTTCTTTCTTTCCTACCTTTTCTTGGTTTTGTTGAAAGAGTGTACGCAACCTGTGGATCATGGAAAAAAAAAAAACAGTTGAATAATTATTGTTTTACTGCATTCATCCTTTTGCTTTGCTCGACCGATTTTAGATATGGGCGACCGAACCCCCATTAACTGGGGATTCATGAGATCCATGGTATGGTTACTCCGCATATATGCTCTACATGTGGTATCTGAGTAATAATTATAGTCCCTGTTCTTTTTGGGGATTTTGAGAGGAAAGAAAATTGGTCAATGCGAGATTTTGGTTCTCATTTACTAAGATATTTATGCTCTTTTTTTCAAATTTATGTGGGATTTATGAAAATTTTATTTTTTTTGGATATCGTTTATCTGGATAAATAATACCCATCTCCATAGGTAAGTAGCTTTTCCACAAAGAAAGCTGCTAATTGATGGTGCGCGATTTGAAAGCTCCTAGTTGGAGGTTCTTTGGCCCTGAACTATTGTGCTTCGAGGTGCCTTTATGCCGAGATGACTTTATGCTGAGGTGCTCAAGCTCTCGAGCTGCTGACAAGGCTCCCTTTCTGAGTTGTCATCCTACTGGCTGATCGCATCCACGTGTACCTCGGTCGCTAGGTCGGGCCAAATCACCCCTCATCACCAAAAATTCATTGAACAAAATTGTCCCTTTGAATAATGGCTTTTAGTGTCTCAAATGATAATTTTTTTTATTTACCTGAAAATACCCATAAAAAGGAACAAAATTGTCCCTTTTAAAAACTGTTTGTATATCCATTTGGGATTTTTTTTTATTCTTAAAATACCCATAAAAAGTCTTATATCGCCCTTTTGGAAACCAAACCATCCCCACACATTATTTTATTCTAAAAAAATAAAACAAAGAGTATTAAGTGTTGTTGCGTGATCTGACTACTCCCAGTTGTAGGGCAATTTGGCTTCCAATCGAGCAACGAGTTGGATCTATTTGTAAGACAATGGATCAGAGAACCCAGGGTGGCTAACCCGGCGAGGTCGCTCCGATGCTTAAGTTAGTGTATTGCAATGCGAGCTGAATGCTTGAGAATTTGAGAGCTTAAGAGCTAGAGAGTAGAGTAATCACGCGTACCTTTTGCCTTGAGGTTCCGGTCTTTATATACTAGAGTAGTCGTGGGACTCACGAAAGAGCTTCAGGATCTCCGTGGGTGTGGAGATAGAGTTCATTCCGCTTTCGAAGGAGCAGTATGTAGATAAGGCTTATCGTTCCACTTCCGACTCAGGCGGAGCTGGGATAAGTTCTCATCGTGATCTCGAAAAAGTCAGGATCTGTTAGCTCATCGTGATCTCGAGAGATTCAGGATCTGCTGGAGAAACTTCTGGAGTCGGTTATGTGGCGATTCAGGTTATTAGCCTCGAACTGATACTTCGGTTCTTTAGTTCCGAACTGGATTGGATGTCGAGGTGCCCCAACATCGAGGTGAGTTTTGGGCCGAGGTGGCTTAATACTCGAGTTCGAACATTGCGAACTAGGCTTGCTAGGCTGAGCTGTCATCCCTTAGTCAGGTTGTGTCCACATGTCCTCTTCTCGCTAGGTCAGGCCAAATCACCCTTCATCAATTGCCCCCCACTCCCCGAGCTAGGAATCTCAACCCGGTGCGGGGAGTTCATGACGAGTCTAGGTGGATTTGGCATGAGGTCTACGCGGCTTGACGGACGAATCATTGGTCAGACCTGTTCGGCTGCCCGACTCAACCAGGAATGACCCAGGTCACGTCTAATTTACGCGTGGACGTCATGCCGTTTTATAAACTCCGTGGACGTCAAAACACGCGCTAAATCGATTTCAACCTCTAGGGTCGTGCAACCGATTTTCCTAGGAGTCGTTGGCTCGTGTTGATCTCGACCGTTGATTCCTAGATACACTAGTTATAAATAGGGGCCAAGGGGCTCATTTTCTTCGCCACAAGTCCGCGGATCCGCAATCTGATGTCGCGTTCGAGTCTTTCAGTTCAGTGTCTTTCCGAGATCGCCTTCCTTTCTTCGGTCTTTCTTTGGTGAGTCCCCCTTTGCTTTTCTTTTCAATTCCGTGTCTATCATGTCTAGTTTCAGTTTCAATAGTCTCTTAAACGGGAGCAGTGAATCCGCTGGAGCCGAGGTGGACCTCGATAGTCCCCCACTAGCTGCCGTTCCAGAGCCCAACCAGCTATCAATTGCCGATCAACCTCCAGTAATAGATCTGGTTGAGGACTCGGGCAAGCTCTCCCCGCCCTGCATGCCCGAGGAGGCTACATCTTCGGAGCCCGCCCCGGCAGTTGCCGCTTCTTCAGGCAGCAACGACGTAGCTCAGAGTATTTTGACTCCGAAATTTGGCCTCCTCAAGAGCAAGGGTGTGGTATTTGCTGAGGACGTTGCTAGCTAGGCTGAATTGTTGGTTGCTCAGCTTGGATCCCGAGCGGCTACTCAYTGCATGGTGGTAAATTCTCGGACTTGTCTTCTTCAATCTGTCTTGTACTTGCCTTTTTATATACTGATGCTTGTTTTCTTCTCTTGGCAGGTAAATTCCACCATCCACACCTTGGCTTATCAGTCCGATGTGAACTTGAAGCAGGCCCTCGTAACCGAGGAGTTTTCTCGGAAAGATCGCGCCGAGTTGAACTTAGCCCGCAACAAAAATAACCAGCAGAAGAATGACGTGAGAGCTAAGAAGGAGCTACTCACATTGCTGATGTAGGAGAAGAAGGAGCTCGAGGAGCGTGAGGCGGCCTTGAAGAGGGAGCTCGAGGAGCGAGAGGCGGCTTTGAAGAGGGAGGTGGAAAACCTCGAGGCTCATGTAAAGGAGCGAACCAAGATACTTTTTCAGGCAATGGAGGAGGCCAAGGCTAAGGCTGTCGAGGAGTACAAGTCTTCGGCAAAGTACCGGAAAGAGATGGTCGAGGTAAGGACGGCGAGCTACCGCAAAGGTTTCAAGCTTAGCAGGTGGCTGACCCGACGTGAGTTCCCCCAGCTCGACCTCAGTGTCATAACCACTTCGAGGATCACAGAGGAGATGGCCATCGAAGCTGCCCAAGATCCGGACTCCGAAGTAGAAAGTGACGGCGACCTGCTCGATGAAGATGAGGAGACCGGTGCTGGTGAGAGTCGCATGGAGACGAATCCTCCTACTGAATCCTCCAATAAGGACGAAGATCCTCGAAGTGACTAGATGCCTCTTTTCTTGGACCCCCTTCTATAGTACACCGAACTTGGTGCATTGTAATTTTTATTTTTTGTATCCAAAACTCTATATCAATGAAATACAAATGTTTTTTGCAATCTTTGTACAAGAATTCCTTTTTTCTTCTAAGTGTAGATAACTCCCAAACTGGCGAACTAAACCAAATAGGAGTAGATTTTTTTTCTAAGTATAGGTTACCCCAAATTGTTGAGCTAACGAGCTGGACTCCAAGTAGAGATAACTTCGTATCGTTGTACGCTGAGGTGGGCGGACATTATAGGGTATATACCCAACCTGTCTGAACACAAGCTACTCATTTAGGTGTTGGTTATCCTTTAGTGCCGAGCCATCGGGCTTGACTTCAAATGGGATTAACCTATTATTATGCGCCGAGGTGGGATAGACGTCGTAGAGTTTGTACCTGAAATGTCTATGCCTCAGGCGTGAGAACCGGTCTGCCTATGCCGAAGAGGCGAATAGGACTTGACTGCCTATGCCGAAGAGGTAACTAGGACTTGTCTGCCTATGCCAAAGAGGCAACTAGAGGCAACTATGACTTATCTGCCTATGCCGAAGAGGCGACTATGTCTTATCTGCCTATGTCGAAGAGGCGACTAGGACTTATCGTAGTGCCGAGGTCTTATGTCAGCTCGGCACCATGGCCCTTAGGCTTCTGGGAGTGACTGTAGTCCTCTCTCCAGCTCGTTGATCCTTCTTGACCAGTTCGGTGGTCGCAAGTAGTACATTCTTAGGTTGTCGATATTCCAAGCTTGAGGTACTTGCTTCCCTTCCAAAGTCTCGAGCTCGTACGTGCCTTCCCCGAACACCCGTCTTACTCGGTACAGGCCTTCCCAATTCGGTTTGAGCTTACCAATGCYGGGCTCAGGTACCATAACCTTCCAAAGGATTAGGTCGCCGACGCGGAAGTGTCATTTTTTGACCCAGGCGTTATAGTACCGAGCTACTCTCTGTTGGTAAGCTATAGTCCGGATGTAAGCCAAGTCTCATACCTCTTCTACCAGGTCTAGGTTGGTACGGAGCTCATCATCATTCGTCTCCTCGCCATAAGCCTCCAAGCGTAGTGTGGGCACCTCGATTTCCGCTGGGATCACTGCTTTTGTACCGTAAGTGAGGTTGAAAGAGGTTTCACCTGGGGCGGTCTTAATGGTAGTTTGGTAGGCCCAGAGGACACTGGGCAGTTCGTCTACCCATAACCCCTTGGCTCGAGCTAAGCGAGCTTTCAGTCCGCGAAGTATCGCTCTGTTAGTGACTTCTGCTTGCCCATTCGCCTGGGGGTGTGCTACCGAGGTGAAATTTTGTTGAATTCCCATTTCGGCACACCAATTTTGAAACTTGATATCCTCGAACTGCTTCCTATTATCGGATATAAGTACCTGAGGTAGCCCGAAGCAACATACTATGTTTTTCCAAAAGAAGTTTTGTATGTTGCGGTCTGTGATCGTCACCAAGGGTTCGGCTTCCACCCACTTCGTAAAGTAGTCTACTGCTACGACCGGAAACCTCCTCTGTCTTGTTGCTGGCAAGAATGAGCCAAGAATGTCGATTCCCCATTGCGCGAAGGGCCATGGGCTAATGAGGTATTTCAGATCAACAACAGGTCGATGGTGGATGTTGGCATGCCTCTGACACCTGTCGCACTTCTTGACGATCTCGAGTGCATCTACCTTCATCGTGGGCCAATAATAGCCTTTGCCGCAATGCCTTCTGTGCGAGAGCCCTGCCCCCCAAGTGTTCGCCGCACAAGCCTTCATGGGTGTCGCGGAGTACATGCTCGGCCTCTGAGGGTCGCAAGCAGCATAGGTAGGGGAGTGTAAAGGACCTTCTGTACAGTTGTCTGTCTATAAGGACATTCTTAGCTGGCTGGAG